GGGAGTTGTAGAGGGGGCAGGCCTGGTACTCACAGGGCCACTCAGCCCAGGCATAGCGCAGGCCCAGCAGCAGCGTGCTGCAGCCACCCAGGGCCAGCGTCACCGTGCGGGACCCCACTGCCACCACTGGTGCCAGCAGCCACTGGCACGGGGACGCCTGGCTGGAACAGCACACCTGGAGAGGGGAGAAACTCCCTTCAGTGCTGCCTTCCTTTTGCAGCTCTTTGGGGAGGATATCCCACTCCTCACCTCAAATGCCTGCGCATCCCTCTGACGGTAGATGAGCTTCTGGCTGTAGGTGACATTCAGCAGCCCCGTGGTCACCTCCAGGACAGCCCGGGTGGGATATGGTCCCTGGAACACGAGGCCCTTGTCCCCATAGGCCACAGCCATGGCACCCAGCAGCAGTCGGTGAGCCACATTCTGCTTGTCCCGAGGGTGGATACTGCCCAGGAAGAGGAGGAAGATGGAGCTGGAAGCCAAAAACTCCATCCCCACACCCTCACCCCAGCCCAGGACTCACCTGCCATAGGGAGAGTGCTCATCGCCCAGATCCATGGCTACAGCCATGAACGTTCTGGGCATCCTGGCGTTGGGAACCACCCCCAGGTTGGCTGTTTGGTGCCAGCGGAGCCGGGCAAAGCTGTCATCTGCACTCTGATGGCGGTAGGTGGAGAGCTGAGGGGCACGAGGGAAATGGGGGAGTGCCTCAGATCCCAAGCTGGCCACTGTGCTCCCTGTCTGGGATTTTCAGCACTTGGCAGGATGCGTATGTGTTTAGAGCATGCTCTCCCTGGCCTCCCCCAAGGACAACAGGGGATGTGACCCCTGTCACCCCCCGACACCTGCACAAAGCCAAAGGGGAGAAGTGGCTCCGTCTGTCCGGCTGATCCGGTGTGGAACGCCCAGCGCCAGTCAGCAATGAGTGCAGGGAAGGTGCAGTTGTACTGGTCTGTGTTCAGCAAGGTATTGGCCTCACCTGTCCCCCAGAAAGAAGGGCTGGTGAGAGCTCAGTGGCACAGTGAGGGCTGTTTTACCCCAGGGGACAGAAATGGGGGCTCACCCTGGTACCAAGCGACACCCCGTAGGGTCATGCTGAGCAGCGGGTGGATCATGGCGTTCCAGAGCACGGAGGGCGTTTGTGGGCCAGAGAGATGCTGATGTGGGGAGGTGCTGGAAGACAAAACTAGGTTTAAGGGGGGTACAAAGCACAAGACAGCCTTTAGGTTAAAGCAAGCACCACAGCAAAGGGAGATCTGGGGTCCCTCTCTTCTCCCTTTACCCACCCAGATGTGCCTTTTGCTCTTGGCATGGGAGGGGGTATAATGATGCATAGAGGGGGCTGTGAGGCTCCTGGAGAGGAGGTGGGGTGGGAAGGGATGAGGATACTCCCCAAAAGCAGCGTGGTACAGGGCAGGAGGTGTTTCCACAGCACCTTCTCTCACCTCCCCGTGTCCTCTGGGAGCCCACATGCCTGCAGAACCCGGCGGGAGGACCAGGCCTCGATGGGGGTCCCTCCCCAGGCCACCTCCACCAGCCCGATGGGGGACCCCAGAGCCTCATACAGGGAGCGCCCCAGCAGCCAGCACACGGCCGAGAAGTAGGTGAAATTCCCATGGCCCAGGTTTTCTGCTCAAGAAACAGCAGGCTGCAAAGGGAAGCAGTGGGAAAAAACCCATTTCCAAGCTCTCTTTTGGTGACACATTGCACTCACCAGCTGTTGGAATGGACCATGGCAAATCAACCTGCTCCAGGTCCTCCAGCTCCACGCTGGAGCGGGCGGGCGCCGCAGCAAAGATACGGACGTAGGGATAGTGAGCAGCAGCAGCGAGCTCCTGGCTGGCATTGGCCACCTGAAGAAGGGCCAGGAGCATGCAAGGTGCTTCCCTGGCTGATTCCTACCGGCTCCTGATGTGTGCTGCGGGGCCTTACCTGCAGGACTGTCATTGCCATGTTGCTCTGCCCGCTGCAAAGCCACACATCTCCAAAGTAGATGTCCCGCAGTGTCACGTTCTCCACGCCCTGCTCGGCTGTCAGTGCATAGGGACCGCCCCGATCCATTGGGTCCAGGACAGCTGTCCAAGTCCCAGAAGGTCCTGGAGGAAGAGCATGGTGCTTATCTTCCACCACCCTTATGAAGGCCTCAAGCCCTTCACCAGGATGTTGGATGAACAGCCATCAACCAATGGGGAAGGACAGATAACAGGGAAAAGCTTCTCTACCACAGAGACAGGTTGGGGAAATGGATTTCAGAAGCCCGCTGGCATTAGAGGGACCTTTCTTCTGCAGGAATTTAGGGTTAAAAAAGAAAACCTGGAAAACAAATGTGTGTCAGAGCAGAAGCTGCTGGGAGGAACTGGGATTACAGGAGCAGCTTGGTGTGTGTGACACTGAGATGTCTCCAGCTAATTTTAGAGGCGCCAAATCGAAGCGTAAAGATATTCTGCTGGAGCTTAGCGTGGATTTTCTGGCTGGATCCTGCAGATCTCCAGGATTGCTGCTCTCCCACAAGACACCTCCAGGCTCTTCATCTTATGGAGGGTAAAAGAGCTGCCCTTGGGCAGCACTTTTACCCTCCAAAGGTGATGAGCTCCCTCCCAACTCTTCAGGCAGGGATGTAGGTGGGATTTGAGGTGCTCCTGAGCCCTCCCAGCTCCAGGAAGGCTCTGCTTGCACAGACAACAGCCTTTGGGGCTTAGAGATCCCACAGGATCCTCCAAGGGGGCACAGGTTGAAAAAGAACCTCTGGAGGTTGCTCAGACCTGGTTTAGACAGGGAGAGAAGCTGAATTCCCCCTGTGCCCTGCACGGCCTCATTGGCTCCAGCCCGTGCGGTGCCACCCACGCCAGTGGCAGCTCTGCTCCCACTGGGCACCCACGGGAGCCACTGCTGGCAACCAAAGTGAGCAAAGGCTGCCACTGCTGGGGAAGGGAATGGCTGAGCCCACCCGGGGCTCCTGAGAGGGAAAAGCAGGAGCTGGAGATGTCACCAGCACCTGTGCAGCCCCAGAGCAGCACTGTGACAAACAGGGGCGTGCCAAACCCCGTCTCACCCACCCACCACCAGCTCTGATGTGGGCTCAGACAAGTTTCTGGCCACCAAAACCATCAGTTTCTAGTGAAAGTCTGGGACTGACCTTTGACCGGTGCTGTTTTCTCCATGATGACGAGGCCGCTGGCACCTGAGAGAGTCAGGGTGACCACGGCCCCCAGCTCCCCGTGGCCCCACACCACAGCCCCCGAGGGCTTCTGCTGCAGCACCATGTGGTCACCATAGTAGGAGGCAAAGCTGAGCAATCCCCCTGGAATCAGCAGACAGTGCAAACATCAGCTCCGAGAGAAAAACACCCTCAGCATGGCCTCTGACCCCCTCTTAAATACAGATTATTTGAGATCCCACCTAGTTTACAGATTCCTGGTTAGCTTTAAGGTGGCTAAAATCACCACAGGGCTGAGGAAGGGGCAGAATTTAAATTCCACAAGAAGGAATTCACCTCCTAAAGTACAGGGAGCACGTTACATCTTCTATTTCATGGATTTGGATACAGATTTTGGTAAAAATTCCTCTAATAACAGCATGGGAGTGTCTCTCCCAGCCCAGCCTTGCTAATTAATGTTCTGATGTATTTTTCCCTTGGAAAAAGGTTTGTCAAGGGGTGGGATGGAAAACATTGGGCGTGCAGCATCAGCAAAGGCACCTTCAGTGGGGATGGAAGGAGAAGGCCCAGCCCTGGCATCCCCCAAAGCCCCATTTTTGCAGAGTGAAAGAAAATCATATTTGAAAAGTGGGTCAGAAAAACATGTGAGGGGTGACCCGGGCAGAGAACCTCAGTGACCAAATGAGAGCTCATGGAGCCTCATCTCCTCTGCAGCTCATCCTGGGCTGGGTTTGAGGAAGGAACAATGTTCTTGGCCCCTCAGGAGTCAGCTGCATGGCTGGTCCCGCTGCCTCCTGCCACAAGGCTCCGGAGTTATATAAAAAACAAGTCGGAGGAGAAAAAAAAAACCCCGAAAACTGAGACGCCAGGGAAGAGTGGAAGCTATAAAAAGCAGCTGGGAGGAGGGAAGGGAAGAAGCAGGGAGGAGGGAAGGGAGGAGAGCCCACGAGACACCACCGAGGAGCCGCATGCGGCTCCCACCTTACGTAAAGGCTCGTCCCACGGCAGCAGAGCTGGGCCAGGGGCGCTGGGGGGGCAAGGGCACCAAAGTGGGACTCAAAGCATGCAAAGGGCATTGAAGTGGCGTTTGGGGGATGCCACGCTTGTCAAAGTGGGACTAGGGTGTGCAGAGGGTGTCAAACTGGGGCTCTGCGAGTGCAGAGGGCACAGAAGCAGAGCTTGGGGTGCAAAGAGTGTGAAAGAATGGTGGGGGGTAACAAGGGCATCGAAACTGGGCTAAAGGGGATGCCAAGGGCCCCAAAGTGGGGCTCAGACTAGTGCCAACATCATCAAAGAGGGTCTGGGGGCTCAAGGGGTGGCAGAGTGGGGCTGGATTTACAGGAGGGGCCCAGAGGGGCACCCCAAGAGCGGGGCTGGGGCAGTGCCAGCGCACAGACGAGGCTCGGAGTGCGCAGAGGGCACCACACCAAGGCTTGGGAGGCCTCGGAGGATTCCCGGGGCACCGGAGCCGGGCCGCTGCGGTGCCAAGCGTTCTGGCGGTGCCAAGCGCCCCGAAGCGGGTCCCGTGGGTCCCCCGAAGCGGGACCCTCCCCAGCCCGTTACCTGCCGCCGCCGGAGCCAGAGCCAGCAGCGCCAGCAGCGCCCACGCCGCCATCCTGGGGGGGCAAAGGGCTGCGAGGGCGGCGGGACCCCCGGCACTGCCCGGTGCCCCCGGCACTGCCCGCTATGGGCCGGTACCGCCCGGTGCCCCCGGTACCGCCCGGTACGGGCCGGTACCGCCCGGTGCCCCCGGCACTGCCCGGCACTGCCCGGTACCCCCGGCACTGCCCGCTATGGGCCGGTGCCCCCCGGTACCGCCCGGTGCCCCCGGCACTGCCCGGTACCGCCCGGTGCCCCCGGTCCGCCCCTCGGGGGCGTGGCCTCCTCACGCCCCGCCCACGGGGCTGTTGCCAAGCGACGGCGTCCGCACCGCGGCCTGAGGGGACGGCGCGGCCCGGCCCGGCTCTGACGGGAGAGGCCGAGAGGAAAGGCCGGCAGCGCGGGGCCGAGGGTTGCGGGGCTGCGGGAGGAGCTGGGGCACTCCGGGGGAGAGAAGCGGGGCAGTCCGGGGGAGACAACCGGGGCACACCGGGGACGGGAGCAGGGCCCCCCCCGCCCGCTCACCCCGCCCAGGCCGGGGCCGCGCGCGCGCAGAGAGAGGCGGCCGCGCGCGTGCGCGGCGGGCAGGGAGCGTGTCTCCCCCTAGCGGCGGCTCTGGCCCCGTCAGCCGTCGGTCCGCGGGTTCGAGTCCCGGCGGTGCCCGGTGGCACTGCGGGCTGTGGTTAATCCCGGGCTGTGCCGCTGCAGAGCGTCCAGGAGAAGCGACCATGTCCATCGCCGCCTCCAACACCAGCATGAGGGTGCCTGCCGGCTTCCGGAACCTGCTGGAGGGGCTGTCGCGGGAAGTGCTGCGGGAGCAGCCCACCAACGTGGTGGCCTTTGCAGCGCAGTACTTCCAAAAGCTGCTGGAGCAGAGGGAGGGTGAGTGGCCTTGCCCAGCAGCCATCCCCACACTGCCATCCCCTGCCCCACGCTGCATTGCCTGCCCAGCCTGCTTTGTTTGCCCATCACCAGGGCATCAAACCCACCCTTGTGCCCATTGCCCGTGGCCTTGTGCCTGTCCTGAATGGCCATGGTGCCATCACCCAGGGTGTTGTGCCTGTGCCGTGTGCCCATCGCCCGTGGTACCAGGTGCCCACTGCATGTGGCACCAAGCCTCCTCCTTCCCTAGCTAGTGGCATTGACCCGGTGGCGTGGGGAGCCATGCTGGAGGACGACCGTCTCACCTGGCCCCCTTCCCAGGTAGGCTGCCCTCCTCTCCACTGGGGTGCCAAGAGCTGCCCTGTGTCCCTGCTCCACCCTGTCCCTGCCACCCCTGTGCCACATCATCTAAATTTCCTTCTTTCTTCTGGGAGCAGAAGGAGGCCAAGGACACGGAGGGGGAGCAGGCAGCACCAGGGGAGGCAGGCGGCATGCACAGCTCTGGATAACTGTGATTCCGCCCCAAAATGAGTGGAGAGGAGCCAAAGAGCAGCATGTCCCCGTAACCTTCATGAACTGGAACACCTCTCCGGAGATGCAACCTCAGCACTTGCCCCAAATCCCCCATTTCCCGCTGTCCAACCCCAAAACTAAAAAAAACCCCTTGGTCCTCCCCTGGCTCCAGCCCTTTTCCCGTGGGTGGGTGCTCCACTCCCATCCTGCCCCTGCGGTGCTGTTTTAATGAGGAATTTTATTAACGAGGTCCCCGCCGCTATTAGCGTCGATCACCTGAGATTTCTCCCCGAAAAATCCTGGGTTTGGGGCTGAGCTGAGCACGGGATGATATTTTTAGCCTCTATATTTAGGCCCCTGCATCCCTGGAGGTTGGAAGAAACTTCATAACATCCCAGCGTGAAGGAATGATGTGACATTGCTCCTCTGCTACCCCCCTCCATAAGCTGAGATACCTCCATGGAGTTCTGGGTGGCACACAAAGGCCCCCCAGTCCTATTCCCGCCTGTGAAATTAATATTTTCCTACACAGCGTGGTTTCAAAATCCCCCCAAAAAAGTGGGGTTTGCGTCGAAGCCGGCTGCTCTATTTTTGGAGAGGACTGAGCCCCCCCATCCACGCTCACCCCGTTTTTACCCCCTCTTTCCTGTTTTCCACCGCCATATGTGGTGCTCGCCCACGGCACGGGGCATGGCAGCGGCTCCCCCGGGAAAAACAGGAAGGAGGGATGGGGAAAAAAAGCTGGCGGGGACCCCGTGCCGGGGCTGCTGCCAGCCAGCTACGCCGTGACCCCCCTGCAGCACCGCCTCGCCGGCTGCCGGCTCCTGCTTCGGCAGCCGGCAGCACTGCCCGCCCAGGGCACCGTTCCAGCATCCAATTCCCTTTTCTTTTAAGGATTTTTTTTTTCCCCCCCTGTTTTTAAAGGGTTTTTTAACACCTCGGTGCCACCATCTCGAACCACGACGGCGGGATGTTCTCAGCAGGTCTCGCCAGCTGCACTTGACGTTCTCCCCTTCCAAAATCTGAGTTGTTTCATTGGAATTAAAATTTTGGAGGTGCTGGAGTACCTGAGAAAGCATCATGCAGATGAAGGGGTCCAGGGAGGGAAAATGCAGAGCCTGGAACAGGCTCAAAACTCGCCATTAATGATTAGAAATGTTCTGGCATTTCGCGTCCCTCCTCCGCAGCCGCAGCCTGCGGGAGACGGCGGCGCTCGGCGGCTCTGCCAGGACCCGGTGCCACCATGGAGCAGATTTTGGGGGCTAATTGAGGGACTAATCCTAATTTTGGGGCTAACTTCTCAGATCCACGACCCCAGATGGTTGACTCAGACCAATCACCCCCAAAACCCTTCCCACTTAACTCGCCCAAAACACCCGGTCCTCTCTGATTGGAGCAGGCAGTGATGGATCTGGAGGGTCTAAAATCCAGGGAAAAGGATTTCTTCCCATCAAAAATCCCAGCAGAGCTGCCAAGGCTTCTCCTGGAAGCTGCAGCAGGGTTTTCTGGAGCAGAGCTATTCCCACCCCCCACGCCCACCCACCCTGGTGTGCTGGTGGAAAGAAGTGATGGTGGAAAAGTGGCTCCAGTGGGAGAGCTGAGTGGCTCACAGGGGAATTGAGGGATGCCTGGGAGCCTTTCCCAAGGGGAATTTGGTTGCCAGGCGTGTGCTGGGGCAGGGGTGACCCCCTTCAACCTCCAGGTGTGGGTGAAGCAGAGGAGGGAGGTGGCAGTGGTGGGATGTGCCTGGGATGGGGTGGAGTGGGATGGGGAGCAGGGTGTCCTGGGGTGTCAGGGGACAAAGGGGTGCCACCACCTGCACCCAGCAGGAGTGGCCTTGGAGAAAGAGATGGAGGTGGGATGGGAATGGGAGCAAGGATGGTGATATGGCAGGGAACAGGGCCAGGGGTGAGGGTGATGATGGGGATGGGGACAGGGAGAGGGACAGGGATGATGGGGTTGAAGCTGGGAATGGGAGCAGGGATTGGCATCATGAAGAGGATGGGGACAACAAGTGGGATGGGGATCAGGACAGGGATGGTGACAGAGATGGGGACAGGGATGGTGGTAGGGATGGAGAAGGTGGTGGAGGTGATGGGGATGAGGTCAGGGATGAGGTCAGGGCTGGTGGCAGCAGTGGGGACAGTGCCCATTCCAGTGCCAGAGGCAGTGATGTCAGTGGGACAGGGACGTTAATGGGGATGATGATGATGGCGGCAGAGAGGAAGGTCAGTGCCACCAGGCCCCCAAGCAGGATGACCCCTGCGAGCAAGCTTGGCCAGGGAGAGCCAGTGGGGCCCGACGGCACGGGTGGGCCGGGGGGTGCAGGTGCCCGCCTTGGGGGGGCCAGGCTGTGTTTTGGGGGCTGGCTGGAGCAGCATCGGCGCGGAGCCCACGGGCGACTTGTGCAGTTGCTTAGCAACTCCCAAACCCGGATTAGAGGCGAGCGAGGCAGCGCTGGGGGGGCTGTGGGCTGCAGCCCCCCGCATTGCCCCGGGGGTCCCTCCTGCTTGCCGGGGTGCCCCCGCTCACCCTGCCAGCCCCAGCACCTCGGCGTGCTCCGGGGTGGCAGCAGGGTCTGCAGGGAGCACCGAGGGCCGTGGAAGTGGCTGGAACTGCGGGTCTGCTTGGAGGACACCCCAAATGTGGGGGGGCAGATGCTCCTGCGAGTGGGGAAGGGACCCCCAGACCCCAGAAGTGGAGCCCACTGCTCTGCTTGGAGCCTGCAGCTGGGCACATCAGCCCCGGGGTTCTGCAGCGTGCTCGGTGGGACGCTGTGTCCCACCATGCCCACCCTTCCTCGCCATCTTCATCCTTGCCATCCTCATCCTCACCCTCCTTCAGGACCAAGTCCTAAGTAGGTCAAGAAGGTTTTTTAACCCCGTGCAAACCAATCTGGGGGCAAAACCTGCCGCCAGCATCACTGTGGATCATGTACCCCCCCAAAAATGAGCCCATTACCCCCATTTGCTATAGCTTTGTCCCCCAAAAAACCCTCCACGCTGAAAGCAAGGCTCATCACATCTTGGCTCGCATCCTCTGCATGTGATGTTGTGTTCCACGAAACTCCAAGGCGAGCTGCCGGCTCCTTTAAGTGTTAGGAGGGAGTTGGAGGCTGCAAAATAAAATTGGAGGAGGGAAAATAAAAAAAAAAAAAATTAAAAAAAAAAAAAAAAAGAGGAGAAAGGGAGGAAAAAAAAAATAAGGCACCCCTCCTTCCCCCCCAAAAGCCTGGCAGGGGTGTCGGGCTGATAGGCTCGCCCGGAGGAAAGCGCATTACGTAGGCAAGCGGCTCCGCTCAACTTGCCACCTGCGCCGGGAGAGCCGCCGGGGAAGCGAGACCGTGCCCGAGCCCCTCGCCCGCCGCCGGCCGCCCACCGCCCTCCGCCATGGACTGCTGCAACGTAGGTCCCGCTCCCCCTGCGCCCCTGCTGCCTCCATCCCTCCCTCACCCCGGGGGGCTCTGGGGTGCCGGGGGTGCGATGGGTGCTCGGGCAGCTCCGCGACCCCAGCGCAGCTGCAGCCCCCGGGCTCCTCTCCCCACAAATCGCCTCTCGCTCCTGCCTCGCAGCAGTTCGGAATCCATCCCGCCCGGACCCATCCTGCACCCCACAGCCCGCTGAGGGACCCCCACACCCCGAACCCAGCTTTTGGCGAGCTTTTTCACACCCCCACCCCCCCCCACACCCCACAAGTGCTCCACAGGTGGGATCGGGGGTGCAGGTGGGTAAAGGGATTCATTGGGGTCGCGCCCCTCTCCCCTCAGCCGAGGGTGAGCTCCCCTCTCTCCCGGCCACCAGCCGGCTTGGGCAGAAAACCACATCCTTTCCCCTTTCTCCCTGACCCCCTGACTTTTCCTGCCCCTTTTCCTCCCCTTTCCCCTTTCCCTTTCCCCTTTCCCTACAGTTCCCCCCTAAGACAGCAGCACAGGGAAAAGCCCCCACCTCTCCTCCCGGGCACATCAGAGAGGCAAAGCCCACCCTGGATATAGGATTTTTCCTGCCTGGATATAGGATTTCTCTCCTATGTATAGGACTTTTCCCCTCATATGTAGGATTTCTCTTTCTGAATATAGGATTTCTCCCTCTGAATATATGATTTCTCCCCTAGATACAAGTTTTCATCAGCTGCATAGAGGTTTTTACCCCATGGATATGGTGTTTTTCCACTGGATATAGGATTTCTCCTGTGAATATAGGATATGGCCCCCTGTTTATGGGTTTTCTTCCCTGAATATAGGATGTCTCCCCTGGATATAGGATTTTTCTCATGAATGTATGTTTTTTCCTACCTATAAACAGGATTTCTCAACTTGGATGTAGGTTTCTGCCGCCTCTATATAGGATTTCTTCCCTGATTATAGGATTTCTACCCTGGATATAGGAAATGCCCCCACATATATAGATTTCCTCCACCTGTATATGGTATTTCTCCCCTGGATATAGGATTTCTTCTCTCTTAATATAGGATTTCTCTCTTGGATATAGGATTTCTCTCCTGGATATAGGATATGCCCCTCCATGTATAGGTTTTCTCCCCTGACTATAGGATTCCCTATCTCCAGATATAGTATTTCTCCCCTGGATATAGGTTTCTCCCACCTGTATATAGGATTTCTCCCCTGGATATAGGTTGTTCTCCCCCACCTTTGCATATAAAGGATATCTCTCTTGAATATAGGATTTCTTTCCTAGATATAGGATTTCCTGCCCCTGGCTATAGGATTTCTCCCCTGGCTATAGGATTTCCAGCCCTGGCTATAGGATTTCTCCCTGGCTATAGGATTTCCAGCCCTGGCTATAACATTTCCACCCTGGACATATCATTTCCACCTTGGACCCATCCTTATCTTTCACAATGGTAAAACAACCTGAGCAACTTCGTGGAGCCATGGCACAGGATGAGCTTCCTCCCCCCTGAATCTACAGCTTCCAAAGAAGCCCCCCAAAACTCCTTTAAGTCCTTTGAGTGCTCGTGGGGCAACACAAAGGCTTCTCCCCCACATCTGCTGGCCCTGGATCATCCAATGCCAGCTCATTTCCACCTCATTTCATTTTCCCACGTTTTTCTTTTTTTCCCGTTGAACTTGGTGCTGAGTCCAGCTGCTCTGGTGGGATGTGGCAGGAGGGGAATGAGTTAGAGTGGTTTGGTCTTGGTGGGGCTTTTTCCTCCCTTCTGGCGTCACTGCTTTCCCAAATTTCCTGGTGTTTCCAACCAAAGCCCCGAGGAGGGATGCAGGAGGATGCAACAGGCTATGAGAAAAGGGGAAACTGAGGCATGACCAGCTAATTTTGTGCAGGATGGCCCCCAGCCCCCTGCCAGAAGTATCCCCCAGAACCCATCCTCTGCTCCCATGGATTTTCCTCTCCCTGCCCCATAACCCTGGCTGGAGTCTGGCTTCCTGCAGCCGTGTGGTCTGGGGTTGCCATTTCCCCAAGGCACCTGCAAGGGACCCTGATTTTTACCAAAACCCCTCGTTTTTAACAAAGGAGCTCAATTTTTAATGAGTAAACCTAATTTTTAGCAGCCTTCCCCCTAATTTTTAGAACAGGGGCTCGTTTAAGACCTTCTTGAACGGATTCCTTTGGGGAGGGGGCTGTGCTGTTTGAGGTGCCACCAGCTGTAACCCTGCCATTGCCACCGTCAGGAGGGAGCCTGCACAAAGCTGGACGAGGACATCCTGGACATCCCTTTGGACGATCCTGATGCCAACGCGGCAGCTGCCAAGATCCAGGCTAGTTTCCGTGGCCATATGACCCGCAAGAAGATCAAAGGGGGTGAGATTGACCGGAAAACCAAGGACGCCGAGTGCGCCAACAGCACCCGCGGCGGCGACCTCCGCAACGGCGACTAGGTACACCCCAAATCCCGCTGCTTCCCCCCAAAACCGGGTCATTTCTGTAAGGGTGCTGCTCTGAGTGTCCTTGGCTCTGTTGATTTGGGATGGAGCACCCTTCCCCAAGCTGATTTGGGATGGAGCATCCTCCCCTGCAGAGATTTGGGATGGAGCATTCTGCTCTGCGCAGATTTGGGATGGAGCAACCTTCCCTTTGCAGATTTGGGATGGAGCATCCTTCCCTGTGCAGATTTGGGATGGAGCATCCTTCCCTTTGCAGATTTGGGATGGAGCATCCTTCCCTTTGCAGATTTGGGATGGAGCAACCTTCCCCACACTGGTTCAGGGTGGAGAAGGGGTTTTTCCTCTCAGGAGATGGAAGCACACAGGCAGGCAGCCCCTGCCTTGCCCTAAATTTGGGTGCGCGCCGTAGTAGTTGGGAAGGATGGGAAGTAGGATGGGAAGGCGCAGCCCTAGATTTGGATTGAATCTCTCCCTTAGCAACACCACCCCGAGCGCCTCGCCTCAGCACATGCTATTTTTAAAAGCCTGTGTCACAGTCTCCTGGCAGGAAAAGGTAAATTTAAAAAGCGCCCACGGTGCCGAGGCCGCGTGGCACCGGAGGCCGGGCGGTGGCGGCGCCGTGCCCGGGCCGTGCCCGGGGCCGGGAGCGATGCAGCCGGGATGGAACTGGGTGCAGCTGGCATGGAGCTGGGATGCCGTGAGGATGGAGTGGGAATGCAGCGGGGGTTTAGTGCAGATAGAGTGGGGAGGAACTGAAGATGCAGCGGGAATGCAGTGAGGAGGAACAGAAGGATGCAGTGAGGATGCAGTGGAGATCCAGCAAGGCTGCAGTGGGAAGGAACCGAGGATGCCGTGGGGATGGAACTGGAGCTCAGCTGGGACACAGCGGGAATGAACTGAGGGTACAGGGGGAGCAGAACTGAGATGTGGTGGGGAAGCAATGGGGATGCAGTGAGAATGCACTGGAGATTCAGTGAGAATGCACTGGAGATTCAGTGAGAATGCACTGGAGATTCAGTGAGAATGCAGCGAGCATGGAGAGGCAGTTCAGTGGGGCTGGGATGAGAACGAACTGAGGATGCAGTGGGGATTTTGTGAAGATCCAGTGGGACAATGTGGAAACAGTGAGGCTGCAGTGGGGCTGCAAAGGGGATGCAGTGAGGACGTGAGGGGATGAACTGGGTTTGCAGTGGGGAAGCAACAGAGATCCAGCGAGGATGCAATGGGAATGAACTGGGGATGCAGAGGGGATTCAATGGGACTGCAGTGAGGATTGAGCGAGGATGCACTGGGGCTGCAGGGAGGATGCCAGAGGGCTGCAGTGAGGAAGCAGCTGCCAAGTGTAGGTGCTGTGCAGCTTCTTAGGGCCCAGAGGTTCCTTTGGGATGCCTTGTCAGGGGGGCTGAGCAGGTTGGCAGCAGGGAGCCAGGCTCCCCTCCTTCTGCCACGGTGCTCTGCCTAGGGGGGTGCAGGCAGGGGTCCCTCCCAGGTTCCTGGGCTGGGTGAGGGCAGAGTGTGGGCAGCAGTGGAGGCAGGACAGGGTGCAGGCAGGGTGTGGGCGGGCTGCAAGCGGAGCACGGGCAGGGTGTGGGCAGGGGGAGGGCACGGAGAGGCTGCAGGCTGCAGGAGCAGCATGTGAACAGGGTGCAGGGTGTGGGAAGGGTGCAGTCAGGGCACGGGGTACAGGCAGGGTGAAGGGTGCAGGGTGCAGGGAAGCACAGGGTACAAAGAGCACACACACAGGGTACAGGCAAGGTGCAGGGTTCAGTGTACAGGCAGGGTACAAACAAGGCTCAGGGTTCAGGGGTTCAGGCAGGGTGCAGGGTGCAGACAGGGCACGGGGTACAGGTGGGCACAGGGTACAGAGAGCACTAAAGGTGCAGGCAGGGCACAGGGAACAGGCAAGGCTCAGGGTGCAGGGCACAGGCAAGGCTCAGGGCACAGAATAAAAACAAGGCTCAGGGTGCAGGATGCAGGCAGGGTGAAGGGTGCAGGATGCAGGCAGGGCAAGGGCACAGGCAAGGCTCAGGGTGCAGGGTACAGGCAGGGCACAGGGTACAAACAAGGCTCCGGGTTCAGGGTGCAGGGTGAAGGGTGCAGGCAGAGCACAGGGCACAAGCGAGGCTCAAGGGGCACAGGGTACAGGCGGGCACAGGGTACAGAGAGCACTAAAGGTGCAGGCAGGGCACAGGGTACAAACAAGGCTCAGGGTGCAGGGTACAGGCAGGGTGAAGGGTGCAGGGTACAGGCAGGCCAGCCCAGGCTGACCTCTCGCTCTCTCCTTGCTTGCAGGGGCCACCAGCTGCTCACCGGAGCCCCCTCGTCACCGCCTCCCTCCCAGCGCCGCCCGCCGAGGCCCAGGAGCCCCCGCTTCACCCCCTGCCCCCCGCATGCATCCCCCGGGGTCCCCCCGCAGCCAGGCCCTGCCCCTGGCCCTGGCTGCCCGCCCCCACCCCAGACACCCCCCGCCCCAATAAACGCCCCTGCCAGAGCCCCGGCCTGTCCTCGGTGCCTTCTGGTGTCACCGGCGGAGCGGTGAGGTCACAGCGGGCAGGGGAGGGCGGGCCGTGGGGCAGCGTGCCCGGCAGGGATCTCCCATTGTACGTGCAACACGCCGCAGCACGCGTGACATCACTGCCAGGCGTGGGACGTGACATCAGGGTGTGGTGTGACATCACTCGGGGGTGGAGGGGACCTGTGGGGTGCTGGCATGAGATGGGTGGTGATGTCAGTAGTGATGTCACTACTGGACAAGTGACAGCTGCTGTGACACCACTCAGGTGTGTGTGACATCACTGCTGGATGTGTGACATCTACTGGACAAGTGGCAGCTGCTGTGACACCACACAGCTGTGTGTGACGTCACTGCTGGATGTGTGACACCACTCAGGTGTGTGTGACATCACTGCTGGATGTGTGACATCATGCAGGTGTGTGTGACGTCACTGCTGGATGTGTGACACCACACAGGTGTGTGTGATGTCACTGCTGGATGTGTGACACCACGCGCACGTGTGTGTGATGGCTGGAGTGACATCATTCCACCGTGTGTGACATCACTACTAGGCGTGACTGCGGGTGTGACATCATGCAGGCACACATGACATCCCTGATGGACATGTGACATGCCTGCATGGCATCATCCAGGCATCAGCCAGACGCTGTGATGTCACTCACTCGTTGTGGCTTTGTACCTCCTGCCGCAGGGAGTGACATCCCGGTCACCGGGTGTGACAACGCGTGCATCATGATGTCACCTCACCCTGAGGGGCTTGGCTGGTGCACTGTGACGTCACCCTGCCCTGTGACATCACCCAGAAGGTTGTGGGACACCCCTCCCCGCCTCGAAATCCGCACAAACTCACCCAAAGCGCCGGTGCTGGGCAGCGCAGCAGCTTTTAATCAGAAAACCCCTAAAAAAAGTGTGTGTGTGTCCCCGTCACCCCCCTCCCCCCACCCCTACTTTCTTTTATGAAAAATCCCTCATTTCACCTGATATATAGATATAGAAAAAAAAAATCATAAGAAGGGGACCCCCCTGAGGCAGGGCTGGGGCTGGTTTGGGGGTGATATTTACGGGGAGACTCGGTCCCTCCAAACCCAGAGAGCCCCTGCACCCATTAAACACACCCACGATGAGTCCAGCTGCTCGAGGCATCTGTTAAAAAAGAAAAGGAAACCCAAAAAGGGACCAAAACCACCCCGGGAAACAGGGAGTGGGATGGGCTGGCCGTGGGCACCCCTGTTTTTGGGGGGTGCTCACACCAAGGAGCCAGCTCGGCTCTGCGCTGGCACCATGACTGGAACGGCGCCGGCTCGTGCCAGGCTGGAGGGGGGCAGCGACCCCCCGGGGGCGGCGGGGGGGTCCTGGCGGCGCCGGGGGGTCCCGTTAGCGGCGGGGGGCGAGAGGCTGGGGGGCCGGCCCCCTGCCCGGGGCGGGGGTCCCCGGTAGCTGCCGGTGCTGGTGAGGATGGAGGCGGTGTCGGACGGCGCTCTGGCTCCGTAGGCCGGCCGCGTGCCCGCGATGGAGGACAGGGTGCTGGTTTTGGACATGGTGTCTGAGGCCGGCCTCCTCGCCCACGACGGGGTTTTGGGTGCCACGGCGTCTTCCCTGCCGAGAGGGGAGAGCGTCAGAGAGATCAGCTCTGGAAACCCTTCCTTCCCCCACACTGTGCACTCTCCCTGAGCAATGAGGGTGTGCAGACGTCCTGGACCCCCAAACAGAGGGACAAAAGGGAAAGAGATGGAAAATCCCCTTGTTAACTCTCAAACCTCACGACAACTGGCCTGAGGTGGAAACTTTTTTCTTCCTCTGAAGAATATTGATGACTGGCCAGAGTTGAAGAACTCTTCCCCACTATTAACTCTGAACTTGAGAAATGTCAGGCCAGAGGTGGAAACACCCTCCTCACCCATTAACCCTGAAACCTAACGATGATTTGAACCCCCTCCACAGGAAGAGTGCCTCACTTGATCTCGTTGGCTCCCTCCTCCTGGCTGTCACGCTTTTTCCTCCTGTAGCCATAAAACTTCTGGGCAAAGAAGATGATGGTGGCAAGGGCGCCCAGGGAGCCCAGCACGGCGCCGGCAATGACTGCTTTGGTGCTTTCTGCCAGAGAGAAGCAGAGATTCCCTTATTGCCTCATTCCCACTGGGAGCTCATGGGGACCGTGTCCCCCTCCCCGGCCCTGTGGACACGTACTCACTTGAGTGTACCTCCAGGACAATGCTGCAGTTCTTAGAGCCTGCCTGGTTTTCAGCCCTGCAGACGTAGACCCCCGACATTTCCAGGGAGAGGTTGGTCAGCTTGAGGGTGCCCCTGGCCCGGTCTGCAGGTGACAAATTTGGGTGCTGCCTCACAGCCACTCCTCCACCTCCTCGTGCAGGAAGTGGTCAAGGGGGTGAAGCCAAAGAACCCCTCAGCTGAATCTCAGGGTATTCCAGCCCATCCCCAGCCCCACCCTGGTGCCGCCTTACCCTGGGCAGGGGGAAAGAAGACCTGCAGGGTGGGCGGCTCGCGCTGCCACTGGTACATGGGCGAGGGCTTCCCCTTCTTGGAGGAGCAGCTCAAGGTGACGTTGGCCCCCACGATGGCGCTGCCGTGCAGCTGGCAGGTGGGGGCGGCCGGCGGCACTGTGGGCACAGGCGTTAGTCCCGAGGGGCACCACGGGGAGCGCCAGGGGAGCCGGGGCACCGGCGGAGCCTTACCCAGGACGGTGAGGTTGATGAGGCCGACGTTCTTGTGCATCCTGATGGGGTCATCCACCACGTTGACGGTGCACATGTACTGACCCGAGTCTTGCTCCCGGGTGGCGTTGATGAACACCGAGATGTTGTGGGTGATGATGGGGTACAGGAACCCCACGCGGGACTTCAGGTCTGTCTCCTCCACCTTCACCACCCCGCCTATGTATGACAGGATCTGCACAGGGAAAAAACCACATGCTTTCGCTTCCAGATCGTGCTGCTGGAGAGAAAAGCCCCTCAAATCCCAAATTTTGTAGAGCAGTGGTTGCTGCATAAGCTCCCTCCAGCCTTACATCCCCTGAGCATCCTGGACATGGGAACTGCAGGCAGCTCCCCACCACAGGCACAAATACCCCTGGCATGGGCACTGTGAGCAACTGTCCCATCATGAGCATCTCCCCATCAGGAGCACCACAAGTGGTGTCCCCATTGTGGACATTTTCCCATTGTAGGCACCATGGGCATTTTCCAAGGACATCTCCCACCCATGGGTATCTCCCCATCACAAGCACAACAAGCAACTCCCTACTGCAGGCACCCTGGGCATGACCCCAGTGTGGGCATCTCCCCTCACGGGCACAATGAGCACCTCCCCACTGTAGGCACCTCCTGATGATGAGGACCACAATCATCTCCCCACTGTAAGCATTTCCCACCATGGACACCACAAACACCTCCCCATACAGGCATCTCCCCATCTTGGATGTCTCTCCCAGCTATGGGCACCACAAGCACCTCCCTGCTGCAGGCACTGTGGGCATCACCTCACCGTGGGCATCACCACATCACCATGAGCACCCCCCATCAAGGGCACCCCCCATGGTGGGCACCACGAGGTTCCCCCATGGTGAGCACCACCCCATCTCAGGCACTACAAGCAGCTCCCCGTGGGTGTGGGGATGGCACCATGGCTATGTCCCCATCTTGGGCACCATGAGCATGTCCCCCATGGTGGCCACCTCCCCATGGTGGGTGCCATGAACTTCACCCCACCATGGGCCAACTCCCCACTATGGGCACCACAAGCACTCCCCCACTGTGAGAACCACACGCATCTCCCCACGGGCACATCCCCACCATGAGCATCTCCCCTTTGTGGGCATCTCCCCATCATGGGTGCCACCATGGACACTTATCCATTGTGGGCCACCATGAGGTTCGTCTTTACCATGGACACTTACCCACTGTGGGCATCTTCCCTGCACGGGCACCATGAGCACCATGGTGGGCACCATGAGCTTCCTTCCATCATGGCCACCCCATCATCGTGGGCATCCTTCCACCACAGGCACTGTGGCCACCACCCCACGGTGGGCACCATAATCCTCCCCCCATCATGGGCACCACCAGCACCCCCTCCATGGTCACCACCCAGCCTGGTCCCCTCCATCTCCAGTCCTGCAGCCCCTGCCCTCTTCTCACCTGGAAGGGAGTCGGTTTCTTGTTCAGCATCCAGGTGATGTAGGGCTCATTCTGGGAGAGGCTGGTGTACCAGACAGGCAGCACTGCCTGCTGCCCCTCCACGGAGAACACCAGGCTCGTCCCCACGTGCACCTCCAGCACGGCCAAGGAGACACCTGCCCGTGGGAGAGGGAAGAAACGGGGAAATGACTCAACCCCAGGTGCTACATCTCCACAAAACCTCACTGACTGTGAGAAAAAAACCCCATTCCCAAGACAAAAACAACAATCCCAGGTTATCACCAGGAAGCTGAGCCAAGAAAACATTTTGCCTCCTTCCCTGCCACAGGAAGGGCTTTCCGCCTGCTCCGGAGGATGCAGGAATTGCTGCTCCCTCCCATCCCAGCTTCCGCCCCACACTCAGCTTGGGAATTCCTGAGGCCCTAAGTCACCCTTCCAGCAGACAGCCAGCTCCAGCAGGCAGACACCCCCTTAGCTCAGTACTGGGGTGCTCCCAGCCTCCCAAGATGCTGCAGCAGCTCCCATGGGATTTACTTGTAGGGCTCCCCCACATGCACCCCACAAGCCTTTCCCAGCATCCCAGTATCCCCCATTTTTGCTGCAGCACTGAACTGGGATAATCCACGAGTGGCTTCCCCTGGTGCCCCACCTCTTTTGACCCCACATATCCCATCCCAATCCCCTGTCACCAGGTCCCCTGCATCCCAGCATCCCCCCAAGCCCCACTGGGAGGAGCTGATGGGGTAAGGGGGGCACCACGGACGGGGAGGGATGCTCAGCCCCCGGGGGAAGATCATTCCCCAGCTCTGCCCCTAAGGCTCAGCCAGAAAATTAATCAGCCCAGGCAAGGCTGAGTGTGCGCTGGGGCTGGCTTGTTTTTCCCAGGGGAACATCACCAGGCCCTGCATCCCAGCAGCTCCATCCCTGATCCACCCATCGATCCGTGACCCCGGCTGGCCCCGCTCCTGCCAGCGCCCCGGGGGTGCCTCACATCGGGATGCAGGGGGAAGGATGATGCTGCCCGTCATCCCAAACCCTCCGTTTGGGGGGGGAACCTCTGGCTTTGGAGGATTTCGGGAGCTTTCATTAACCTCTCACTTTTCCCTAAGAGCTCAGAGGTTTTAATTGGATTTTTCCAGGGTGGGAAGAGGGAACCAAGGCGCTGGGGGGTATTTTTAGCCTCCTCCCATCCGTCCATCCCCCCTCCTGGCAAGGCACTGGTGCCATTTCCGGACGGAGCCTTCCAGCTCCAGGCAGGAAACTCTGCTCCGGCTGATAAGTCTTCTCAGGAATTAAAAAAAATAATTACTTTTTTTTTTTTCTCTGGTGAAAAACTGGGAGAAATAAGGCCCAGTCTGGTGAGGATGCGTAAAAATAGCTCACCCGGGCTAAGAACATAAACCTTTAAATCCTGGAGGGGTTGGGGGGGGGAGATGCTGGAGGCGCCCGCAGCTCCCAAATCATTGATAATATTATTTATTAATTAGATAAAGCTGTGGTATCAGATCCAATAGAGAGTATGGAAAAATAATGGTAATTATAGTGTATTTATGTGTAATTATACAGATAATTGTATTAAATTTAGAGAAAGTGGAAAGAAATATGGGATGGCGACTCATTAAACAGGAATTTCCAGAACAAAACAGATCATCGAGAACATATAATTTATAACAGTTTAAATGTAGGTATATTTTGGTAAGAATAGGGATAATAGCGGGGATGTGAGAGTGATAATAGTGCTCAGAATAATGAGAGTAATGATCAAAGTGAGAATAATAATTATAAAAGTGGAATCACTATGATAAAAGTTATATTAATAATGATAATAATAAGTTATCATAATAATTATAACAATGTTTCCAATACAATAATGATGACAGTAATACTGATCATACTGATCATACTGATAATATTGATAATATTAATAGCGATAGTAATAATAATAGTTATCAAGATTATACAGTTCATTAATTGCAGATGGCACAGCCCCTAAACCTTCCTGCATTCCCAACAACTGGGGAAAATCCAGGTGTTTTCAACCCAGATCCTCCATCATTATAAAAGTGTGTTAAATTGGGATAATTTAAGAAGAAAATAGATTCTATTCAGTAATTGTAACTTCTATTAGAAATATTAGAGATAACAGGTAATAGACCTGGCTGAAGAATTATAATTGTAAATTAATAAAAATAATTGTAACATTATAACAGTTACAAAACCAATTATAACAGTGATTATAATGATATTAGTAATAAAAGAATGATAAGTATAATGATGATAATGATAATAATAAACATATTAATAATAATAATATAGTTCATTAATGATGGAGAGGGTGACTCCACAGCTTCTACACCCCTGTGCATCCCCAACAGCTGGGAAAATCCAGATGTTTCATCCCATCTTCTCTATCAGCATGGCTTTTGGGCACAAAAAAGGTGCTGGGCCCAGGGGTGCTGGGGATTCCTGGGGAAACGCAGGCTCCAGAGAGGGAAGAGAAGTTCTGGCTCCGGCCAGAGGATTCCCCAAGGCACTAAAGCAGCCCCGTGTGCCTCAAAGCTGCTCCCAGCGCTGAGCCCGGGGGTGTTAGCCCTGAAACCTACTGATGAGCACGTTAATTACGTTAATTGTGCTCTGGGGCTGCAGCTTTGCTCTGCCATCCCTAAAACTCCTGCGGCAACAGGAGACCCCGGCTCCACCACCTCCCCTCCAGGGCACCGGGGAGAGGGAGATGGATCCAGAGCTGGGGGCTGCTCGCTCCCCAAAATGCCCTTTTTCTTGCAGAATTCACCCAAATTCCCCCTCTCAGACAGACGTGGCCCTGAGAAGGCTGGAGGGGCTGGGTTTGGAGCGGCAGGCACGGGACGAGCCCCCTGGCACGGCTCTGGCTTTGGCCACCTCCACGCTCCAAATCCTCTAATGCTTTAACCAGATCGAAAAAATTAAGCTGCTCGTGCATCCAGGGGGGCCTGGGGCCCTCAGCCCCTCCCGCCTGCTCTTTGGGCTCAAAACCTGGATTTTTATCCAGCTGCCCTGAGCTAAACACCTGCCCGGGTGTTTTCCCCCCGCCCCAGCCCATCTGCTGGGATTTTTTTTGCATATGGAAGAACAGAATAGACTTAAATTTACCTTTAAAAATAGCTATAATTTTTTTCTCCCTATTGAATAAATATCTTACAATTTAGCATTCTAAAACACTTTAAATTTTCTCGTGACAAAAAATTTTAAAACGGCTTTAAATTTCCCTTCGAATTTATTCCCTATGTTAAAAAAATCACCTTTAAATCCCTGCAATCTTAACAGTAATCCCCGTGCTGATATCAACCACCCTATCCTCATCTAAAATCACATCCTTTCACCCCCAAATACAAGCTGTTTCCTGGCTCTGGCACACCCTGAACCCCCAAAAAGCAAACTCCCCCTGCAGCCCCCTCCCCAGGTCCCTGAACCATTAACTGCAAGGGGAATTAAATCCCGGAGGCCGTCGGGGTTTGATGACCCCGGCTGATAGGATTAAGGCGCTGGAGTCATGTGAAACCCAGACCCAAATTAAATCCCAAAAGACCAAGCTTGGGATTTAAAATACACAGCGGGAATCTGGCCGGAAAAGGGACCCTTGAAAAAGCTTGGAAAAAAGGTCAAGGAGCATCTCAGCACTGCAACGCAGCCAGTCGCCTTCCCTTTTTTAAAAAAATTATTTTTGGGGGACTTTTTTTTCCCTTTTCTTCCCTTAACTTTGACTATTTATAAACGGGCAGATAGGAGATGGCGGGCTGTGCAGCAGTGTCCCTTGGGAAAATCCACAGCGGCATTTCTCACGACCCCGGGGGCGGGGGGGCAGAAAGTGCCCTATCCTCCAGAGAGACCAAATTTGGGGAAAAAAAATTAAATAATGCAATAATCATATGTGACTTTGCTATAGATGGAAACTTTGCTATAGATGGATGCTTCACCCCTGGTGTGGGAGGGAGAGGCGGAGATGGGATGGGATGGGCAGGGGATGAGATTGGGGTGGGATTGAGGAAGGGATTGGGGTTGGGATTGGGACTGGGAAGAAAACAGGGATGGCAAACATCCCTCATTTTGCTTGTCCCCATCACAATCTCATGAGGATCTCACGGGAGGAGGAAGGATTGCTTGAAAGCAAAACTAAAGAAAAAAACCCACACATTTGGGGTTCAAAAGGGTCTTTTTGCTGCGTTTTTGAGCTATCGGTGCCTGTGATGTCACATCCCAGGGCTCAAGTGTGATTTTTTGGTGGGAATCCATCATGATTCCGTGCAAAAAGCGCCACCGGGACGCAGCAAAGGAGCGCCCTGGTGGGATTTAAGGGCTGAGTGACCCCCGTGCCTCATACAAACATGCTTCAATTAACTTTTATCAAGGAAGAAAACCTTCAAGGAGGAACAAGTGACGGCTCCAGGACCCCCACCCAGTGTTCTGCTGGAAGGAAATGCTGCTGCCATTGTTTTTGGGGCCGTTTCCTTTCTCCAAAGGCCTCTCCTTCGCTGGGAACGCCAAAGGATGTTTCCTTTTGGAGCAACGGTGGCAAGTTCCAAAAAGACTCGAATAGGGTGGGAAATTAGGGGTGGAAGAAGGGAAAAACCCATGGACAGAGAAGCGCTGAGATCCCTCACCTCAAAAGCAGCTGGGAGGGCTGTGCAGCACCAGTAAACAAGGGAAAACAAGTGGATATTTTCCTGCCCAGTGCCACGCAGGGAGGTGAACTGCGGACTTTTGTGTCCCTGGTGTGTCCCCCTATGGGGGTACATCGGGTTTGGGGGGGCTGGAAGTGGCTGTTTGCCAGCTCCAAGGTACTAATGCCTTTTCCTGGGAACACTCAGACTTTCTCCACTCTGAGCACTCCTAAAAGGGGAGGGGGGTGGATCGTCCCCCCCTTCTATTCCCCAAACCTGTCCTATGGGGTAGGGGACTGCGGGCACACAGACAGGTGGGTGCTGCGACCCCCGCCCCCGGTACCCCACGGTCCTTCCCGGTGCCACCCCAAAGCTTCCCAGCTCCTGCCCGGCTGCTCCCACACCCTGCCCGCTGACCCCCTCGGCATCTCCGGCTCCTGCCCCGTGCCCTCCCGAAAGCTCTCGCTCGTCCTGCCCGGTTCCTCCCGCTGTTCCCGAGCCCCGCCGGGCGCACCCCCGGTCCCGCCGCGCTCGCCGCCAGCACCGCCGGAGCTCGCCCGCTGCATCCCGAAAGCTCTCCCGGCCCCTGCCCCGCATCCCGAAAGCTCTCCCGCCTCCTGGGTCCCGGCCCCGACCCTCCCCCAGGGCCAGCCCAGCCTCCCCCTGGTGCGCGGTTGTGCGTTAGTTACGCGGGTTTGTTGTTGGTTGTGTTGGGTTAAGGGTGGGTGCGCTGCGGGACCGCAATGTCAAATGTCAGCCCCACAGCGGGAGCACGGGGATCCCAAAGCCTCTCCATTCTCATCCCTCCCACGCCGGCAGGGTGGAATATCCTGTTCTGCATCCCTCACCCTCATCCAACCCCCCTTACCCCCCCCGATAAACGCATCGATCCTGAAAAATAAACAATAACAAAAAAAAAAGAGACAATTTTGACTACCTGGTTTTCGGAGCCTCGGGTGGATCCTGCCCGGCTCAGCCAGGGTTATCCCGGTCCTCGAGCAGAGCAGGGTCAGAGCTCGAAGCCCCAGCAGAGATTAGACACTGGCGGAGGAGGAGGCGGTGGGGCAGAATTAATCCCTTCTCGCCCTCGCCACCCGCCCCGTAAATCCAGCCTGGCCTCCAGGACTGCAGGATCCCGGGAGCAAGGAGGCTTTGGGGGATCGACCTGGCTTGATCCCGGCAGGACCCCACCTCTCCCGGACAGCTGCTCCCGACTCGGCATCTCCGGGCAGCTCACCTTGCTCTCCCGCTACTCCGGAGGCTGGAGCGCGGAGCGTGCCGTGGTGACCCACGGGTGACCCACGGGTGACCCACGGGTGACCCACGGGTGACCCACGGGTGACCCACGGGTGACCCACGGGTGACCCACGGGTGACCCACGGGTGACCTGCTCCCCTTCCTCACTCCGCCATCCCCGGGCTCAAAGGCGATGCCAACTTCCAGACGGGCACTGCCCCTCACTTCTTTCAAGGGTTTTGGGAACCTCTGTAGGGAGAGCAACCGGCTCTGGCGGCGCTCACCCCACGGGAAAAAAATCAGCAACTCCACCAACGAGCCCAGGAGCAAAGCCCTGGTGGGAAGATGCACAGGGAAGAGCTCGGCACCTCCCCAGACTGCCCCAGAGAAGGACGTGTGGAAGGCTCTGTACGTGTTTGTTTGATTTTATTAGGACCGACACATTCATCGTATGTCACAACGTCACCGATGGATGAGCTCCAGGAGATAAAACCCACCGGCCCCGGCGGCGGCGCGGGGCTGCACCGGGACCACGCTGAAAAGGCATAAATGCGTCCTCCCCCACCCCCCTCCCGCCCCCNCGCCCCCGCCCCCTCCCCACCGTCCCCTTCTCACAGCTTTGATTGTGTCCATAAGCAATGGGTCGACAACAAAACAAGTAAAAATAATCGTTGTTTTTTCCCAGCTGCCAGGTTGTTCTCACAAAGAGTTTTGGAACTCGATTGGAAAAAAAAAAAAAAAAAAAAGGAAACCGGAGGGAGAAGAAGATAAGACAAAAAAAGGGTAAAAAGTGAAAATAGAAATAATTAAAAAAATTAAAAGAATCAAAAGAAAAAAAAGACAAAGGAAAATGATAAAGAAATTTAAAAAAACAAACAAAAAAGACAAGATAAAAACAAGATTAAAAAAAGAGGAATAGAGAAAAAAGAAAAAGAACAGAAAAATGAGAGAAATAAGAGAAAAATAATGATTAAAAAAAGACAGTAAAGAGAAGAATAGGGAAAAATAAAGAAAAAATAAAAAAGCCAGGAATTATTTTAATGTTATAAAAATAAAATAAAATAATAGCAGATATGGCAACGCTACTAAGGATGTGGAATACATCACGGAACCCAAAGTCTTTGCAGGCAACACTGTTTGGAGAGAGGAGAACACTCAATGGTGAAAAAAGTGAAGTTCTAAATTATATACAAGATATCTAAGGGTGGCTTTGAAAAACAGTCCCCGGGCCGGGAGTTGGGGTTTCCCTCGCCGTTATCTATTGCTTATTGAGTCAGATCCAGAGCAACACTCAGAGACGGATGCGTCCAAGTGAGACACCGTGGACCAGAGGAAAGCCCAACCCCTCAGTTGCGGTACGAAGGCGCCGCGTGCCGAGCGTGTCCCACGTGGAATGTACCGAGGGCCGTCCCGCGTGCCGCGCGCTGCTCGCGGCCGCGCCGCGGCCGAGCCGCCCCGGCAGCCTCCGCGCCCCTCCCAGCAGGAAAAGTCCCGTGTGCCCCGGTGGGAACGGACAGGATCCGAGTGAGATGGAAAATGGGGCGGAAAGCCCTGATCCTTATGAAGGACGAGGCTCAGTTGTTAAATTTTAAGGGGTACCCGATGGCTTTTTCCAGGCACTCTACCAAAGAGCCAGCAGACAGAAAATCCCTCTCCACTTCCACAAATTTGATGTAGATGGATTTGGGGGAGACACCGGGCTCTACGACGCAGTTCTGAGATAAAAAGGCGTTGATCCCGACCCAATCTTTGCTGAAGGTTTTGGTGTTTGCCTGGAAGTGTAAAAACAGGCACTGCTGCAGAGTCCGGACCTCGGCGATGCCGAGGTAACAGTAGATAATCCGGGCAGACTCCATATCCACCCGAAGGGAGGCCTGTGGCGAGGGCACCTCGAGCTCCCCTGGAGTCTCATTGCCGGGGTCGGGTGCCCGGTGCTCGGCCAGAGGGGAGGGGAGCTTCTCGTGGCACTCCTCATATCCGATGGCGTACAGGCCAGGGCTTTTTGGGATCCCTCCAGGTAATAAATACTGCACCACGTTCCCTCCAGTGGGTTTGGAGTGAGCGATGGGAATCCAGTCGATCTCCATGTGCAGCTCCAAGCATCGGGCTTCGCTGATGGTGATCTCCAGGAATTTGTAATAAACATTCTTCCAGTTCATTTTCTGTACTCGGGTCATGATCACCCGACCCTCTGGCTTTTCAGAGTTGAAATACTCCCGGAGCCGCTTGCCCAGGGGCACCTGGGAGCTGATCTCTGCGTAGTGGTAACGGATATCCTCCTTCCAGCGGGTGTTGTACCCAATGCCAAAAATGGCCAGTTTGTTAGAAAGGTGGAGCCTGGAGAAGTCCGTCCAGCTCTGAAACAGCTCCCACTTCAACTGGACCGACTCCAAGATTTGCATAATGTTCTGCATGACGTCACGCTTCCTGGAAATTAAGAAACAGGGAGAGAAGGATAAAGGCATCAGAGCTGAAAAACTTTCCCAGGGAATGCACCAACATTCAGAAAATAATAATCCCCATCAGCTTTCTTTTCTTACTACTACATTTCTGGGGCAGTTTATGGGTTGTAACAACGCCCTGATAGGGGAATTTTAAATTAATCTTGACAAAACAAAAACAAACCCAACCCCAGCTCCTCCTGATATCAAAGCATCTCCAAGGAAGCACGTATTTGGCACTGCTGAATAAATAACACAACTACTGGGTCATTCCTTACAATCCTGGGCTTCTGTCAGCACATGACTCATGAGCTGCATCCCAAACTCACAACTGCCACTCAAAACACTTCTGCCTCGTTGTTATCCCCAAATTAATGCCAGCAAATGGCACTGCAATTGTAAAAATCCCAACAGGAGCATGAAGCCACTCCCAAGGGCTCTGTCCCAATGCTGGGGTGGAAACACAGCTCAAGGGAGCAAACCCCTGGAGCAGAAGATGCTCCCAGACACATCCCAGATGCTGTGGGATGGACAGCAGCAATCCCTCCAGAAAGCCAATTAAGAAATCCCCACGCTCCCAAAAATGTGTTTTCACTCCCAGCTGCAAGGTTTCAGAGAGGGGTTTACATCAGGAGAGAGCATCTGTGTGCACCTGCAGCGAGCTGGAACAGCTTCCTCCAGGATAAATGAGACCATTAGGGTGTAATTAGCTGGTAGGGAGAACTCCAAATTTGGGAAGTTATTGTCCTATAATCAAAGGCGTAGAAGATAATGCAACTCATTTACTAACAGAGAAACCTCTCTTGGTGCAACAAATGGGATGTAAAGGATCTTCCCATGCAACTCTCCTTCCTTTATCCATTGTGCCATGTCTGTAAAGCTGAATTATGAAGCCACTGCACTCCCAGGAGGATTTTTTCTCCTTCCACCCCCCACCAGGAGGACATACTGTACGAGGTGGCACAGGGCACATGCAAACTTCCCTCCTCCTGCAGGCTCCTCAAGATCACCTGAACTCCCTAAAACCAGCCCTTCCCAATAGAGTCCAGCATCAGACTGGTGAGGGACAGGAGGCCTCTAAGAGCAGATACAACACCCCACAACCAAGGCTGACCCTGGTGCATTCCTGCCCAATAAATCCCTGTGGGGAGTAGCTCTTTTTCCATCATAATGTACGTAAGGGTTCAAAGAAAACTGGGAGCTGCAGAGCCTTCCTGTAGTGCTGGAGAGGCCCCACATTAGAGCCTTTCATCCAAAAAAACCTTTTACAGGTCTAACACGTGATTCTGGCAAGGGTCTCCAGCTGCTGGGTGTCCTGCAGGTGATGGGGGAGGCCTCTGGGCCCAGGACACAGAGCTCTGGTTTGACACAGGATGGTGGGTGCACACCATCTGCAAACCTCATCTGTGCTGTCCAACCCCCCAAGTGTTTCTGAGCATCCAGGTAGGGACAGCTCCCTCCTCACAGTGACACCAGCACCACATCCATCACCACCTCATCAACCTCACCTGCCTTGTAGCACCAACCATGTCAGAAGCCCCCTGAAAAGACCTTCAAAGGCATTTTGGGAAGTACATTTCCACCACAACTGGAGTGTAACAGAGTTTCTAGAGCACTGAGGAGGGACAGGCTAGACAAGCAGAGCCCAGTGGTTCTTAAAAACACTGATTCCACCAGCACTGAAGTTCTATTTCGTACTACAAGTTATTCTGAGGAGTCAGTTCCACTACCTGGCAGCAACAGAGAGAAATCTCAGACAAGAAGAATGCATGCTTACCCCAAATCCATTTCCATTTACCCTGTGGCATAAACACTGTGACAAAACTCATTTAAAGCCTCCCTGACGCTTTGCCATGCTTGGAAAATATCTTTTTGAGGCTTCTGGAAGTGCAAGTTTACTTTCTGGGCACAAGGGGGTAGGACAGCCAGGGGGACAGGGCAGTGCTGGAGCACAGCTCGGTGCCTCAGCACTGGCACACACGCTCCACTCCTGACAGCAGCTGAGCTCCAGTTATTCCCTTCCCAAGGCAAAGACAGGAGAGCACAGCGTGGGCAGGTTTTCATTCAACAGCTGAGGAGCAGAGTGAGGAACTGAAAGCAAAGCCCCCACCTTTATTAAGTGCACTATAAATACTCTGCTCGGTTTAGCTCGGCACAAGCCAGAGCCCAGCTCGGCTGCATTAGTCACTGCAACAGCTCCTGCAGGGAATGGGAACCACTGCATGGGAGCACAGCTTCAGCAGCACACTGAGGACTTTCCACAAGGAACCTACTGCTTCCAGCACAGAGGAGAACAGAAAAAAATGAATTTTAAGTTTGACTTTTCAGGTCTAGTATCTTCTTGCTTTTGCCAGGATCCGACTTGGCAGTGCTTTGCATTCCCAGGCTGGATCCAGGATCTTGATGACTTACCCAAGCAAAGGTATCATCAGCAGTAAAAATTACTATTATTTAATTATTTATTAATTTCAAATGTAATTTTCATTCATTGAACTATTTAAAATTATTTATTAAAGTTGTACTTATGTATTTGCTTAATTTGTATAATTAATATGATTCATTTTTCAGGACAGTGGGAACTGAGCAGAGGGTTTAACCTGTTGTGTGTCTCAGGACAATCTCACTTTTCAGCTGCAGAAGGTGCCCTAGAGCTGGATTTTCTCTCATCATCAAATTATCACCTCCCTGCTGGAGTCTGGGACCTGCATTTCTTCCTCCTTGGAAGCTTTTGCAATTCAAATGAGGAAAAACTTGAGACAAGAGTAGGCGCAAATTTGTTCTAGGGCGCTGTTTCCAAACCAGGCAGACTTCAAAGGGCCCAGAACAGCTGCTTGCAGTGAAGATCCACAAGCTTTCTCTAGTTCATCTTCCCAAAATCAACAGTGAATCAAACCAATTCTCAAAGTCTCTAAGTGATATTTCACTTTTCATAACAGCTTACTTGGAGACAACAGCCAAGGACAGGCAACAGCAGAGCCGACATGGGGAAGGAGCATCCTGATGGAGGATGGGACATGGACACGGGTTACCTGCTGCCCTTTGCTTCCCATACTGTCAAAAATGAAGTGAAAGGTGGCAAGTCCCTGTGTGTCACAGACTTAGAACACTCTGACCTGCAAGGGATTCCAAAAGGTCATCTCATCCCATCCCTGCCATGGGCAGGAACACCTTCCACTAGACCAGGTTGATCCAGCAAGCCCTGTCCAGCCTGGCCTTGGACACCCCCAGGGATCCAAGGACCCCATCCTCACAGGAAGGAATTCTTTCCCAATATCTCATCTAACCCTCTGTCAGTGGAAGCCATTCCCTGTGTCCTGTCCCTCCATCCCTTGTCCCCAGTCCTTCTCCAGCTCTCCTGCTGCCCCTTTAGGCACTGGCAGGGGCTCTGAGGTCTCTCTGGAGCCTTCTCTCCTCCAGGTAGACACTCCCAGCCTTCCCAACCTAACTCCAGAGCAGAGGGGCTCTGGCCTTGGCAGCACCTTTATCATGTCCCCCTAAAGGAGCCCATGGCTCTCTCTGTGTCACTTGGAGACACAGTGCCTGAGTGGGGACAGCTGTGCTGTCCCACATTGTTGGGAAGTTCAGGGGAGTTGGGATATCTGCCCTCTGACACCCAGGCAGGTCATACACTTTCTGTAACTAAAAGCTATCCATAGGATGCCCACTAAATCCCTAAAGCTACAATTGGCCTTTTTCCTCCCAGATTTATAGCTCACTTTTCCCCAGCCCTTTCAGTGTTTTGGGGCTCTGTTACACCTGATCTTCATCCAGCCCCCCTTCACCCAACCATATTTATTAATTGGTACTTGAAGAACCTGGTCCAGACATTCCCTATCCCTTGCTTTCTCCTTTGCTCACATCCATTCTTGTGCTCATAGCACTTGGCTACATGAGCTGATGGCAAAAAAACTTCCTGCTATGAGCACAAGCAAACTGCACCAACATGAACCCAGCACGCTCCAGGGCTGGAGCCCTCGGCTCTGGAGCCAGGCTGGGAGAGCTCACCTGGAGAGGAAAAGGCTCTGGGGAAAGCTGGGGAGGGACTTGGGACACTGGATGGAGTGACAGGACACAGGGAGTGCCTTCCCACTGCCAGAGGGCAGGGATGGATGGGATATTGGGAAGGAATTCTTCCCTGTGAGGGTGCTGAGGCTGTGGCACAGGTTGCCCAGAGCAGCTGTGGCTGCCCCTGGATCCCTGGGAGTATCCAAGCCAGGCTGGATGGGGCAAGGAGCAGCCTGGGACAGTGGAAGGTGTCCCTGCCCCATGGCAGAGGGTGGAATGAGATGAGCTTTAGGGTTCCTTCCAACTCAAACCATTCTAGAATTCTGTTTCTCTGTCCAAAAGCACACCACAAGTTTCACCAGGATTTTAATGACTTCTGGAGACAATTTTTGCTGAAAATCTGCCCTTGACCAAGAAGGCAAATGAACTTGTCTTTGAAGTGGGCTATCTGCATTTTAAAATGCTGTACAAAGAGGTGAAAGACTGATAACTATTTATCTACTGTGGCTTTTAGATGAAATTTTATTATTTTAAGATAATAAAGAAATACCCAGCTTATCTTTGTATCAGCCGTGCATCTTCTTACTGCTTTTAACTTACTGAGTCAGAGTTTACAAGTTCCTTCTCCTCACAGACAAGGGGAAAAGCAGCTTTTAGCAAATCTGTGCTTTGGAAAATGCTCTGTGCTTCCACCCTGCACGTAGGACGAGTTCATCGCTGGCACGCTTCACAAAGTGCCCCAGAGTTCAGAGACTCCACTGCATTTCAGAGGGAATTTGGGGGAAAAATGAACATAAAACTCTGAAAGGTCTCATTTACCAAAATCTAATTCAGCTGGTCACGTACACATTAAAACTTGGAAGAGAAGATTCATGTGGTCCAAGCCTTCGCCTCAGAAAATTCAGGATTATTTGCTATGGAGCTCCTTAAAAGTAAAATTACTCCAGAACAGCATGAAGAAAGTGTTCAAAGTGGCAGTAAGAAAGTTAACATTGAAAAAAGCTGTTTTTCTCCAGGTTGTCCTTGTGTTGTTAAAATGAATTTGCTCCATGTGAAGAAAAAAGTCACCTTTGGCTATGTGAATATCCACCTGAAGTCAGGAGTCTGCCAAAGCTACACCACAGCCAGGGAAGATTCTTGTTAATTATTTTTCTTTTAAAATTACTTTTATTTTCTTAAGTTATTTTACTTTAAATTTATGTCTCTTTTTACTTCTTTATATTTATGTTTAAGTTTTTAGAGATTTTTTTTCATTGAGTTACAGTACAAAGCCTCAGTTCTATATGACTCATCAGGGATGCTCTGCTGCTGTTCCCACTGCTGGTGACCTCCTACCCTACAGCAGCTGATTTCTACCATGGAAAATCCCAGTAACACTAAAACCCACTGGGGTGGGAGCTCCTGTGAGGAAGCCCAAAGGATCTGTGAGCCTGGGCTCACTCCCACTGCAGACAGACCCACAACCACCCCCAAAGGCTGGCAGAAAGCTGCCCTGGGCAGAGTAAATACAGCACAATTCCTTTCATTTTTGGGAATGCTCTGTGTTATTGTTGGAGAGGCAAGGGAGAGTCGCATGCTCAAAGCATTCAAAAGGCTCCAGTGTTTGCTGCATTAAACCCAGCCAAAAGGTTACCAGTGAGGTCTGGAAAGTTATAAAAATGGAAGTCAGAGACTCCCAAGCTTTGGCATGCCTTCCCACCAAGGAAGGGAGCTCTTCTTGTGGATTCTATCTGTGGTTTAAGCCCTCACATCCATGTAGTAAGTCTTGTTTTGTCTGCTGAATGGCAAAGCCAAGGAGAAACAGAGTTGTGAAGCTTTTCAGCTGTTCCGAGGTAATGGGAATAATGCATAAAGCAGATTCAACTGTATGAATAGTCTTGCACAATGTATTTATAATTATAAACAGAAGTTTCAAATATCCTCCCCTCCTGCACATTATCCCCAGGGAAATACATTCCAGAGTAAAACATTCATAAATTACTTACTGCGTGTCTTCTGAAGACTCCTGTTTTATCTTTAATGTTCTTTTCGTGGTAGGCATTTCATCTGAAAGGTAAAATTCCAACACATAATTAGATTTTAAATAATGTTCTTAGGGCTTTTTTTCTTAAGAGCTTGAAATTAAATAAAAAATAAATCTGAGTTGCTTCCTAAGCCAGGCGGTCTGCTGGAGTTCTGCATGAGACAGCTCCAGCTCCTACACCCTCTATAATTGATTGAGTTTTTCTTTAACCATCTTTGACCATATCTCTCTCTTTGGAAGAGATATGGTCAGTTAAGTTCTGAATCTCCCTCTGCAAGTGGAAAACCTTTCATGGACAAGGCTCCAGTCCCATCCATTAAATCACGCATTGACAGAATTGCAAACTACATTGTTTCAAGGAAAAAAAAAATAAGAAAAAGCAATTCCGCTTCTAATGGCACATTTCAAGAGGAAGCAGCAGCAGAACTGCATCTGTGTTCAATTCAGACGTTGTGTGCCAAGTGCTTTGCTCACAACTTCTGAGTGTGAAGGGCATCGTCAGCCCAAGCGCACGCAAACGTCCCCGAGACTGGTGACAAACCAGGAGATCCCAGCTTGACTCACCACAACAAGCCACACCAGACAGAATTAGCCATCATTTGCATACGTTTTGTAACGTTTTCTTCTCCCCACTGTTTCTCTCCCACATATTTCTGACTTTTAAATCCCCCAGGGAAGGAGTCTGAGGAACTGGAATGTGGTTAACAGCCAACTTGCAAATTTTAACATTAAACTGCGATCTAAGGCTCTTCCAAAGCATCCTGACTCACCAGTCCCCCAAACACAGATGTGTACAGACACCCAACTGCTCCTCCTCTCCGCTTTCATCCTCTAAATGGGGAAAAAAGCCTTTACACAATTCACCTTCTTCACCTGCATCTCCATTGGATTTTATCAACTTAAAGCTTCTGCTGTGAAAAAACCCTGCTCAGGCAAGGGAGGAACACACACCCATAAGAGGAGTAGCTTGAGAGAAACATGCCTCAAGAAACCCACTTCTTCCCAGAACTGCTCAGATTGGAGTGTGTTTTCTATCAGGGATGTGGTACCCTGATCTGTTTAACAAGGTTCAAAAAGCCATGAGCAACAATTAAACCTCCAAATTAATTTAAAAATTGACTTTTAGGCAGAGACAGCAAAAATTCAGGCAAGAAAAGCACATGGAAGAGTTTGGTTTAGGTCTCAAACATCAAGTGTGAGTTTGCTTGCTATTGTTTCACTTTAAAAAAGGCCACACCTTTGGATATAGATATATTAACATGTTTAATATCAATATATCAAGGTAAATAAGAAAGAGCAGCATTTTTTATAGTTATTGCTGTTGCCAGCAGCAGGCTGAAGCCCTGTTCACAATTTAAGCAAATGATGTTTGAATGGTAACACCCAGATACCACTGGAAGGGAAAATATCTCCTGAATCCCATGAGGGAAAGTAAAACTGGGAGTGAAAGGACAGACAGGGAAGGTGTCACCTCTGCTGTTTCTGGGCAAACAGCCCTTCTTTCCTCCAGTCCTGATCCATGGTTTGCTTTTGATTAAGTGAGGAATTTCTGTCCTTCTTCTCCCCAAGGATGTGTTTAGCACTGTGAGCACATTGAGAGGTGAAAGCTGGTACAGAGATATGTGTGTGCCAGACAGCCAGGAGCACAAACCCAAGGAGGGAGATGTGCCAAGGTGGGATTTCTTACCCAACTCCTGCTCGCCGGTCTGGTAGCAGTGAAGATCCTGACTGTGGTTTCCCCAGTCCTCCTGAGAGTATTCCTCCATCGTGCTGCCATCTGACTCCAGCTCCTGGTACAAGCCACTGCTGTTGATGAGGACGGGCTGGCAGGGCTGGGAGTCCCATCCTCCCTGCCCAAACACCTGCTCCAGCTGTTCAAAGGTGTAGCTGCTTTTCCTCTTGCCAACGCCGTGCTCCTTCACGCGGCTGTAGCACCTGCGGAGGGTCTGAGAGAGAGAAGCAGCTCAGTCAGGGGTGTGGGGCTGGACGAGCACACAGGCACCCACACACAGTCACACAGGCAGAGTTTAGGGCTTTGGGGGTTATTTCTGTTGGTCATATTTGCCCCACGCTCATGAGCAATGCTCCCAAATTAATCTACACCCACCAGGAAGCATCATATATATATCCGACATTCCCGCTTAGCGTTAACATCTATGACACAGGACAAGTTGTGTAGCAGCTACAGATTCCTCAGATTTAACTTGGATAATTTATTCTCTTTCTCACTTTAAAAAAAGAAAAAAAAAAATCCCCGGATCTCCTATGGATGCAGGGAAAAAATAAAATAAAAATACCAAGAGCCCCCCAGTCAGAGACACCAATCAGCCAGGAAAATGCACACCTACTATGAGGAGGAGAAAGCAGAGCTGGTGTTGTGCCCACAGCTTGGAGAGGGGAAAGCAGGGAGGAGAGAGAAAGGAAAACAGAAAGATTTCCCCCAAAAGCAAAGACAGTCCAACCTTCCTTACTCTGGTAAGAAGACACAAGGTACAAAATGGATATGCCTAAGCTATTCAGCTAGGAAAATATTTATTACTTACATATTTTTGCATTCCTTACTAACTCACTCTGTCTCTTGTGAAGCTGCTGAAATTTAAAAGAGGTCAAATCAATAATGCTCCCAGTCCCCAGACTTTGATATCAAGCATCAAGTAAGTAACAGCACTGAGGTGGCTTGGTATGAGCAGTCTCTCAAACAGAGCTGGGGCAGAACCTCATGCCAAAGCCTCACCCAGTTCTGGTGATCCCTTTGACATCCCACTTCAAGGGTTAAGCCACTTCATTGCTGCTGGATAAGCCTATGGTTCCATCCATGTTTTCCCCCTACTCTGGAGCAGAAGATAACAACTTGGGGGTAAAAATACTAAAGCTTTCTACACAACCCTTAGTGTGGTTTTAATTCTACCACTGCTCTGATCTTGAAAGACAGTGATATGCCCCAGGTTTTCTGGGTCTTTTCACATTAGTAAACTGCTAGAAAACATTAACTTTATAAAAAATTAAATATATCAGATTGCTGAGGTTCTAAGTTGAATGGCAAAGCTGCCTCCAGAAATCAAGAGAGGCATTAATTTGGGAAGGACGAGTCCTGCTCCCTTGCTTTCTGCAGGAGGACACATCATTACAAAAACTACTTGGTTTTTTCCCCCCCAAAGAAAGGAACTTTTAAAACTCCAGAAAGCTGGAACCTACCTAAAGCTCCTCATACACTGGGTTAACAGCATCAGCAGCAAAGGGATACATTTCTAACCAGTTTCCTCCTGAGATTCAGAGCCCTGGGGGCAGAAGCAAAACCGCTAAGCAGCAAGTCAGTATTACCCTGCTGTTTTAAACAAAAACACACGAAAACAACACAAAATAAAAAAAAATAACCCATATAAACACACAGGCAGCAACAGGCATGAGTTATTCCATGGTTTAAGGTGGAACCCTTCCCACTTTTGCCATTACTACCTCAGGACAAACAGGCAGATCCTCTTTGGTGGACACCAGCACATTTGAACTTTCTGTCTGTGAGCAGGGTGGAAGACAACCTGCTATGGCAACCTAGCACCAAAACCCAGCCTAGAAACCTGCTGGTATTTGCTGGTGCAAATAGGGCTCCCTCAGGCTGGGGTATAGATACATTTGGTTTTTAGAATTCAGCTTTCTCACTCCAATTTCTCTCCTTTCAGCTCAAATCTCACTGACCAATAAGGGTAAAGTCATTTCACTCCCAGACTCTAAAATCCACCCAGGTTAGATTTTTAAAATGTATTTCCCAGGCCCCAGTTCTTGTACCTGGGCCAGCTTATCCATAGGAGTTAAACATGATTTAGAGCCTCCAGCTGAATTTATTAGCAGCCTTCAAGTGAAACAAACTGTTTCCAAAGCATCCCTACGCTTGGCCAAGCCCTCTGGGAATGCCCGACACCCTCAGCCACTCTATTTTCACACCCTATTTTCAGCATGTGCTTCAAACATCTCTCCCCACCAGTGGGGTTATGGAGGATCCCACACTAGGTTGTAGCCTAGTAGTAATTAATTATTTCAGTCAGGCTGCAATCTGGCATATTTTACTATCAAAATAATTTAGCAGCAAGTCAATGTAGACAAGCAGAAAAACTAAAGGGAGCAACACAGGAAAGGGGATGAAAATAAATGAGAAACAGTGTGACTGCTCATTACTTGATACTTTTGGGGGTACTGCCCAAATGCTCACCTGGCTGTGTCACCTCCGCTTCTGCAAGCAGATAACCTAAAATTTGGGGGAAATAATCTCCAATGTAGGGATTTCCAAAGCACCAAAGGGCCTGTGGCTAAGCAGCTGCTGGCTCCTTGGTCTTGTGTGCTGGAGAATCAAGATTCCTGCTGGCTCTTTCTTCTTGGAGGCTCTCCCCAGTGTCTCCAACAGGCAGTCCCTACAACTTCTCCTGATGTTCCCTCCAAATACCATGAGCCATGTTTCATGTAAGCCCACAGGCTTCTCTTTTTCAGAGAGCCTGGTAAGACCTAAAACATTGCTCAGACCTCAGGAAACCTGGACATTTTATAATCCTTAACCTTTCTCTCACCATTTTATCCTGATCTCCAAGCTCTAAGATCTGTTTGTTTCTTACGCACCTCCTCTACTCCTCCTGGTGTCCAGCTCAACTCCTGCTCCGTGGCTCCTGAAGTGCACATACACAGATTGATACAGATACAGAAAGCAGGGAATTTAGGACAAAGGAAAACAGACCTGATCACTGCCCAGTGACTGCTCAGACTGGAAGAGACCGAGGCTTTTGCTTATTGTTCTGCAACACTGCCTGCAACACGAACACACATTATCCCCGCTTAATTTATCATCAGGAAAACCAAAGGAGGAGACAGTCACAAAGCTCATTGTGGATTTTCTCACCATTTCTAACTCACGAGTCCTCATCTCTACAAGTGAAGCCACCGAAGAACCTGGAGCTCTGCAGGAACTGCAGGATGAGGATGAGAAAAACCTTTAGGAAGGCTGCAGACATGGTCCTCCTCCAAGCAAAAAAATAAGATGAGGGAGAACCAGACCACAGCAAGTTTTTATATATAACCTGAGGTCATCCAACATGGAATTCCAGATCCCTGATCTGAGACATGCTCTTATTCAGGGAGAAGCTATGGGCTCTGCAGAGCACTTTGGTGGCCTGTGGCTGTGTCCACATATATCTGTTTGATTCATTTACAGCAGCCTAAAGGGGTCCAGATGTCCCAGAGCATCACCTAGCACAACACTCAGCTTCAAAGAGGCTCTTTTACTTAATGTAGAGGAGTTCTCAGCTTTATATCCCAAATAAAGAACAGCAGTGCCAAACAGCTCCCTCCCTCATCATGCCAGGATACTCACAGGAAACACAAGATGAAACTACACTGGACAAAAGAAACAGCTTTTGAAGCCTGGAGTGGTTGTAGGGGACAGTGAAAGGTCTCAAAGCCTCCATTTTAAGTTCCTGGGAGCAGAAGGTAACAAATCTGTGCAACAACTTCAGCTCATGAACTTTTAGGTTAAAAGCTATGTGCAAGGCAGGAGAACACAAGAATTAAATGGGGTATTGCCTCAACAAGTCCCATTTCTGTGGTTTATCAAAAATAAAATGAGAAGAGCAGCACCTCAAACTCTTGGCAGAGCTACACACCACAGCAGGAAGGCAGCTGATGGCACCAATGCATCTCCAGCATGAGGCCCCAAACAGAAATACCCCTCTGCAGAAGGTGAGAGCCCAGCACTCAATCAGGCCCCCAAGAGCTCAGGGTCAGTCCCAGGAGCTGCTGCAGCCCAGTCTGCAAAGGCTCCAGCCCCACAGCTGGCTGCACATCTGCCCGAGCACAGCACTGGGGACACAGCACCGGGGACACAGCACCGGGGACACGGTGGCTGTCACAGTGAATCACTCTCTACATCAAGAGCAAGGCCTTGGTTGTGTCCTGATTTACCCAAACATCTTCCTGAAGGGTTTGGCTCTGGTACGGAGGAGAAGTGATGGGAATGCCCTCACAAGAGGGGAGAAGGCTTGGGGGGTAAATGCAGACAAGCTGATTGTCTTGACTGAGGTAAGAACCAGAGCTCTCTTTGGACCATGAAGAAGCAAAGTCACCCTGGCTTTGACACAAGTATGGGGATATCAGTTGAGGCAGGGCAGACTTGGGTTTTTGTTAGGGAGAGCTGGAACCAAACGAAAACTCACAGCCACCACTGCCAATTTCTACATCACAATTAAATGTAATACAAAAAAAACCACAAAGCTCTTGCCTGTAGAGGAGTTATTCACAGAAGCTCCACAGCCAATTGCAGAGGTCAGCCCCCATGAGACAGGGCTTTGCCAAGAGTGGGTGAAGCTGGGGTTTAACAGGCTGTGTCCCATCAGGGTGAGGAACCAGTGACGTGTGGTGCTGTGACAACAGACCCTGCAGTGCTGTGGGCTCAGCTCAACAACCTGGCAAGATGCTCCACTGCTTGCTGCTATCAGAATGCTGAGGATACTCAGACCCTCATCAGGGATTTGTTACTAATTGAGCCAGACCCTTAGAGAGGAGACTCCAGCACTGCCTGCAGGAGGGCTGGCAGCTGGGCACCTCTTTCTCTCAATGCTCCTGGATTTCCTAAACCAGCACTGGATGAAAGAATAGGAATGAACCTGTTAGAGCTTGAGAAGGCAGGGAAGCACCACCCTCCTCCAGACCCACCCAGCCAAAGACTTTGTAAAGAGTTTGGATGTAGTGGGGGGTCCTCCAGACAGAGCTCAGCTTGCAGACATCACTGAATCACAGAATATCCTGAGCTGGAAGGGACCCACAAGGATCATCCACAGCCCAACTCCTGCCCTGCCCACACACCCCAACAATCCCACCCTGTGTCTGAGGGTGTTGCCCAAATGCTCCTGGAGCTCTTGCAGGGTCAGTGCCATGCCCATTCCCTGGGAAGCCTGTGTAGGTACCCAAC